TGAGTGTGTCCCTTCGAGTTGTAACAGTTGGTTAATTACAAAAAGACATAAAGTCTTGTCGCCTTTCATTTCTACAGGACAGCTACGAGGACGAGATGTTCACAGCACGTACACATAGAGCACCCAAAAGCAAATCAAGGTAGCAAGCTTTTTAATGCCCGGTCGAAGTAAATTTTTGTTTTTGTGTAAGTAAGAAGTGCCCGAGTAACAAATGCTCCATGGGGGATTAGAAAATCCTCAGGCAGCTTTCTGGGGGCAATGATCGCGACAGGACCCTCGTCCTAGCCGGCCAAGTTTCACAAGGTGTTCCGGCGACCTGTCCCGCGCACGCCACTGGATTGCAGGATGAGCTTGCACTTTTGGCCCCGCTATGAGGATTAGCAATGCAGGCGATATCTGCCACGCTCTGATGGCTTCCGGTCACTTGCCCCGTTCGATAGTATTGTTCGTTTCCTAGAAAGCAATGTTTTGTTTCAAAGGGGCAACCTAAGTATCATGTCTTAGTATGGATCTTTTTAAAGTATAGATTTTATTCCACTTTTGTACATTATTGGTCTCGAAGTCTCGAAGATGCAAGCGCTCGTAGTCCGCTGAAAATAAATTAAGATTATCCACTAATTTCACCAATAAATTAATGTTTTCAATCTGCTTTCACTGTTCACTCGGGTAGAAGTGTCAACGTCTTCGCGAAAACTGCTACGCAAACAACATTCCACTGTTGCTGATTTTTATAAAATTGTTCACAGCTCACGGGATGTTGCAGCGTTGCGTCGAATCACTCATTCCGTTTCATCCTGCCTTGGACGACAGTCGACAGCGTGCCATCGCCATCCCTCGTCCGCCTGCCGACAACGTCCACTATGTCGGCCTCCTGGTCAGTATGATTCCAATGTCTTGTCACCACTCGCGTCGTTCACGAGATTACCGACACAGGGCTCGAGGGGAGAAGGACTATGATTCTGGTGTTCTGGTGATGGGGTTCCAGTCGCCTTGCTGCGCGGACCAGCTGGGCCCCGGGAGGGGGAAGTCGTCGGGGGCCGTCCTCTGCTCGGCGACCTCTTTGAGCTGTTGGGCTGGGGGTCCCGGCGGCCCCGGGGGCGGCGCGGCTAGCGCGGCGGGGCGGGCGTGACCGCCGTGCCGTGGCTCCTGCGCCGACATCTGCTTCTCCAGCGGCCGGAAGAAGTCGATGATGGGGTGGTAGCTGTAGTTGACGCGCTTGGTGGGCGCGCTGGCGATGCCCGTCGCGGCCGTGCTGGTCGGGATGATGATGGGCGCGGCGGTGGTGGTTGCCGCCGTGCTGGTGGCCGCGGTCGTGGTGGCCCGGGGCCGGTACGTCTCGAGCCGCGGCGGGAGCACGGGGGGAGGCGGCCGCTTGCTCGTGGCCGCGCTGGCCAGGGCGGGCGCCGGCACGCGCACGGCGGCGCCCTCGGGGCTCAGGATGACGGGGACGGGCCGGCGCTGCGTGCCCTCCGCCGTCAGGTCGTCGGGGTCGTCGTCCTGCGGCGGCGCCACCCTGGTCCTGTTGCGGACGGAGCCCGTCCTCCTGCCGGCCTGCGGCGCGTGCGGCGGGTAGTCGTAGTCGTGGTGCAGCGGCGGGTACTGCGGCAAGTGGTCGCCCGGGGCTGGGCTCTCCTCCAGGGTCTGCAGCCCGTACTGCGGCCCGTGCCCCTGGCCACCTTGTTGCTGCTGCTGCACCGGGGGCCGCCTGGTGGCCGCCCTCCGGAACGGCCAGGTCGGCTTTGAGCCCGTCGACGTCCTGGTTGGTGACGGGTCGCGCCCCGTGTCCCGGAGCGAGTCGCGCACCGAGTCCCGCACTGGTCTCGACTCTTCCACCTGCTGCCGGGCACATCAGTAAGAATTGTTGGTCATTTGTTCTCTCTCTGGCGACATGCTGTGCATGTATTTGAACGATATCATACCTGGCTGAAGGGCTTGAGCGCGTACTGCGGGTGGGCAGGGCGACCTGTTTCAGACGCGACTACAGACTCGTGCTGGTGGGAGTAGTCAGTGATCGGCTGTAGGTACTGTTGCTGCTGCTGCTGCTGCTGCTGCTGCTGCTGCTGTTGCTGCTGCAGCTGCTGTAGGTGCTGTTGTTTCTGCTGTTTCTGCTGGAGCTGTTGTTGCTGTTGTTGCTGCTGTTTCTGCTGCTGGTAGGACGGCACGGGCTGACTCCCGGCGAAGGACTGACCTACCTGGCCGAGGGAGGGGGGCCGACGGGCTACCGAGTTGGACGTGATGAACGGTGACTTAATGACCTGGCACGAACAGCAGGTGGGCACCTGGAACCAGAATTTAGTCATTAGCGTAAAGTGTTTTCCTTGGGGTTGTAAAATCTACTTAAAACTATTTTGACTTACCTTGAAGATGTCCATGTGCAGGCCGAGTTCCCTGTCCCAGGTGAGAAGGCGGTGGTAGTTGTACACCTGGGTGCAGTGCGACCGCACCTTGTCTGACATGTACTGGCAGGGTTCCTCCAGCCGCCTGTCGAAGTAAGAAATGGTGCGTTAGTAGTCGTCGGTCCTCCCCCCACCGAAAGGTTCATCTCTCAAAAACACATCGTACCCACCCCCACCTCGCAAAAAAGTTATATTAGGAAAAAACAGAAAACACAACAAAAATCAAGTACCAATGATTATTTTTTTTAAAAAATATGTTGGAAAAAAATGAGAGAAATTGGTGTACGCTTGCATTTTCAGTAACGGTCCCCTCGGGCTACACTCACGTGCACTTCTCGAGGCGCAGCGTCTGCGTGTGCTCGGCCGTGTTGACGATGAATTTCCACTGGCCGCTGGTGGCGCGCGCGCGCTGCGGCCGCGCGTACTTGATGACGGAGGGGCAGAGGTGCGTGTCCTCGGCGCCGTCCTGGCTGTCCAGCTCCTGGGGCGAGTCCGAGGGGTAGTCGTCATCCTGGCGCCTGCGGAGCCGGGGGGGAGAGCAGTTTATTTTAATTGCCGCCGCCGAGGCCGCCGCGCGGGGGCCGGGAGAGCCGCACACGCCCCGGAATGGGGAATGGGGGTTGCATTTTAGTGCCAAGTTCGCTCGCTCCCCAGTTGTTGAATTCCTCGCCGGCCTGCTGTTTCGCTGTCGCCCTTCGTGGCGGACGACATTGAACTTGGCCTTGGCTGGGGCGGTCTGGGCCTTAGTGAGGCACGCGAGTCAACCCCTCCCCATCCCTCGCCCCTTCCTCTGCTCCTCATTTCCCGACCAGAGGGAGTGTTTTCCTTCGTGTAAATTAACAGAATCTGCGGAAGCGAAAGAAGGGCGTCGAGCTTTGGCCGGGGGCCGGGGCGAGGGGCGGGGCGGGAGAAAGCCGAGACGGCGGGCGCGAGACGGGCGAGATCACTTTTCCGAGCGGCTTTGTCGGCCCAGCTGAGCCGGATGGGCTGCCCACCTCCCGGGCGCTTACCTCTGCGCCTCCAGCGGCACGGAGCGGCCCACGGCTGGGGGCTGGGCCGGCGGGAGCTTGTCGGTCAGCAGGGCGTCCACAGTGTGCTTGTCGGCGTGGATGCTGGCCAGGATGGCGTCTCTGCGGAGTGGACACACACTACTGTACTCGGCGTGCTCAGACTGCGCTGCCCCCTCTCTGCGGCTCACAGCTACTCACTCGGGGTAGTGGTCCACGCTGGCGCACACGGTGTCGGAGAAGAGGTTGCAGCCGTGGTGGTCGCCCAGCAGCCCGGTGGTGGTGGTGCTGGGCGCGGCGCTGAAGGGGCGGAAGGTGGTGGGCGCCACGCGTCCCGGCGGCGGCGGCGGCACCATGTCTGCAACACCGCGGGAGTTCCTTTGTCTAGCTCGTTCTTTTGCTCCGGACTTCGTCGGGCGGCGTGGCCTGGCGGGGCTTACCTGTGCTGGGAGGCACGTGGGCGTTCCTCCTGTTCACCCCTGGGGGGCCTTGCGGGCCCGGGGGCGGCTGCTGGCGGTCAAGTTCGCCGTAGCGTCGCTGCGGTCGCTGTGTCTGGGCCCCCTCCTGCGGGGCCGGCGGGGGCGGAGGCGGCCGCGGCCCCAGCAGGGGCGGGGGCATGGCGGCAGGGGCTGCGGGGGCGACCCCGGCGCCTCTCCACCGCGGCATCTGGAACACAAGTTGGCAGCTCGTGTCAACTTCTCGACGGCGGCGCGGCAGGACACACGTGTGTCGCTGGCGGTGACAAGTTTTACCTCCGGGGATGGGCTCATCAACTCTGCCGATTTTTGTTGTAAATGTTGATGAGCCCTCGCCATCTGCTTTGGCTTTGAAAACGCGATAAAGTGAGAGTATTGATCTTTTTGTATGTCTGACGTGGTGACGTCGTCTGTGCCCCAAGAGTTGAGATGAGACTTGACATTTTCTGGGTTTCGAGTCAGAGGTTATTTCATCCCTCCATGACGTGATCCTTGCTCGACGTGAGCGTCAGCCGGCAACTGCCGGAGCATTTGCGCGTTCCAATCTCATCTTTGGAGGCGTGAAGGATTGACGATTCACGAGTCTTTTAAGATAGACCGGGAAGAGCTCATCAGCCAATGCGTCGGGGTGAGATGGGTGCAATCCTTGAATTAATGAAGGGAGAAGGGATAGTGTGGTTCGTCGGGGGACGGGAGGGGAGGGGGCGCAAGAAATTAGAGGGTGGGGCTGCGGAGGGAAGGGGGCGTGGAGGCATGCCAGCCAGCGGTGACGCACGAAGAAACAAGAAAATGAATGAGGGGAGATAAATGAGCTGGAAGACAAAATGAATTGCCTAATGCGGTCGACGAAAAGAATGAGAAACTTTTTTCCCCTCTTTGGCATTGACGGTAAATATGCTTGAAAAAGTAGTCTATGTGCTTGCGTGGTGCTTGCGTGCGCTGGACTTTTTTCTTCTCTAAGTAAGCCTCGTTGGTTATATGGGTAGCCCTTAAGAAAGGTTTTGTTTGCGTCAAGAAAGAGAAACTTTTTGTTTGTGTCGGTGCCACGAGACTCCCCCGCATCGTCCCTTTTTGAGTTGGTCCCTTCCCAGCAGCAGTATCCACTGACCTGGAGTCCATAACGATTATGAAGACGAATGTCTGTCGGCTCGTAACCAGCGACCCTCACCTTCCCGCCAGTGATACTGGTCCTCTTGGCCTAGTTCAAAGTTCCACGCTGGCCCCTGGGACGTTTAGGCTTATCTCCCCCTTAGTGGGGCTATTAGCCATCGCTCTGGGATCCCGGGGGGAAAGAGTAGTTGGAAAGGGGGGGGGGGGGTAGAGGCCCTTGAGCTCGGGCGCGAGCTTTTTGTCAGGCATTTTGCCGTGTCGTTTGCTTCCTCCTTCCCCTCTAGTACACAGGGATAGTTTCAAGTCGAGTCTTCTACAAACCCCGACGGTCGGGATCGGTCGAGACGGTTCCTAGACTCCAACCCACCAATCAAGCCAATTAACGTTCACCGCTCGATTCGAATCCACGGGGACGACTCTGTGAATTTCGCGTGACTCTTGTCTGCCGGCGACCTCAAAGGCACGGGATGCAGTGGTGGCTGGGGGCTGTGCTTGCGCCCCGGGGCGGCCGGCGCGTGGCCCTGCCGTCGTCACCCCCACCGTCCACTCGGCCCGGCCCCGGCCGCGGGGCGCACAGACCCGGCCGCTCTGGCTGGCCTCTGTACTGTAATCCTGTAATTTGAGTGAAAGCAGCCGGGCGTACCTGTGGCCGGTAGGGGTGGCCGCCTGCGCTGCGGCCCTGGGGCGGCGGCTGCGGCGCGCCCTGCTGATGCACGTTGTCCTCGAGCCCGGTGCCGCGGAAGATGTGGGCGATGTCGGCGCTCAGCGGCAGCAGCAGCTGCGACGTGAGGTTGCTGCTGCCGTCGGGGGTGGCGCCGAGCCGCATGGCCATCTACAGGGCAGGACGGTGTCAATCAGAGAAGCGGGCGCATGCCCTAAGGGCAATTTGGGAGCTAAACAGGACTCAAGAAAGCGAAACGTTGCCGAAAAATCTCAACCATAAACAAGAAATGCCAATGTCAGTCAAAGAAGGAAAGCCAAAATTCGGGCCGTCAAAGCTCTCACGGGAGTTACGGGAGTAGCTGCTTTACCTCGAGGGGTGGGTCCGGCACGTCCCTGGGCACCATGGCCTGCTGCATGACGAGCGACACGAGCGCGAGCCGCTGCGGCGGGCTCATGACCCTCAGGATGGGCAGGATCTGGCCGAAGCGCTGGGTCATGCCGGGCCGCTTGAGCGCTGCGCCCATGACGCGCAGCATGAGCGCCGACTTGTCCGCGGCCGCCGACGAGGCCGGCTGCTCCCCGGGCCGGCGGCCGGGTACGTCGCCGTCGCCCGCGAGGAACTCGTCGTCCGACAGGTGCGAGAGGTCGGCTGCTGGTGCAGAGGCATGTCAAAGTTTAAACCTTCATTGGTTTTATTTAAAAATTCCTGGAAAAAATCCCTAAACTGCTTTTTGTTAAATTAAAATCCCTAGTTGAGGCGAGGTCCGGCAAAGTCTACTCGGGGTGGCTCCATTAAAGAAGCTCCGTGTGCTTCCACGCAGCGCCCGGCTGCTAGACCGCGAGGCTGTGCAGCCCTTGCCAACAAAAGGCAGTGCTGCTGCGCGGGGCAGCCCGTGTCGTGTACAATCGCGCATCAGTCCGTGCGTGCAATGTCGCTCTAGGTCTTCAGTGGCACGGAGAGGAGGGGAACGGCAATCGCTTTCGGCGTTTTAATTAGTTGAAAGCGCGATGCATGATGACTTTTTGTATGTAGTTAACCAGAAAACTGTTTGGTTAAAGAACAAAAAACAAGAAGAAACTTTTACACCACTCTTATTGTCCTTCTACTTCCCCCATTTCCCCTACCCCTTGCTATCGCGGCTTGGGCGCGCACGTACTGAAAGGTCGTCTCCCAGCAGTAACAAAGTTATCTCCATAAAGCAAGAATCGTCGTCTCGGAAGGAACGGAGCCTGAGTATCGTTTATCACCCCGTCCTGCCAGAGCGACTGGCACCTCAAAAGCTAAACGAATTATTTTAAAAATAATAGGGTAAACATTTGGACAAATATAAGAAACACGGGGACATTTTTAGGAACGTCATAAAGTACCTGCGGATTCCGATTCATTGTCGTCTAGTGAAATGTCGCTGAAGTCGTCCAGTCGATCAGTTGACTCGCCCTCTTCTGGTCGCACGCATGGTGCCAAAAGTAACAGCGCGACTACCTGAAAATAAGGAGTTTCGCATGAAACATTTTTGTTTGTTCGTGGGCAGTGAGACTTAGTTTTGCGAGCTTGTCTAGACTGTCTCTGCGGAATGCGGTTGCAGCTCAAAGCGGGCTGTGCTGAGCGGCTACCGCTCTACCGCAGCAGTATGGAGCGCACAGTACAGGGAGGCGCGACCATCCTGCGGACCATCCGGGGCAGTGATGCAAGAGAGTCCAACAAACAAACTGGAAGAGAAGAAGAGGAGAAGGGGGGAGGCAACCGAGCGCCGAGCGGTGACAGAAATAAAGCAGGGTGCGCAATGCTCATCAAACACTGTTCTGTCACATTTAATCCAATCTGACCTGACCGAATGAGACAAAATATTCTACATAATGAACGTGTGGAATGCACGCACTGTTAAAAAAAATTGTTGTAAATTTACAACACATTTGATGTAAAGTTTGATAGCAACAAATGTTGTCAAAAAACAACACATGTTGTAATCTAACAACATTCACCAAATTTTCTGAAACAATTTTTCATTTTAAAACGGTGGTTATTTACTTCCGCCTGCACCAAACCTTTGTAATTACACGATCTTGTTCGTTTTGTAACGATACATCTTGCTATCATAATTTACAACGGTTTTGTTGTAGTGTTACAACATGGTGAAAAGTAGGAATCATTGTTGTGGACCACTACGGGCAAAATAGAAGGAATTTCGCCACGTGCCAATGAAAACGAATGCTGTTGTTTTTTAACAAACTTGTCATTATAAAGAGTGTGATAATTTGACAATATTTTTTAACAGTGCGGGAAAAATATTTGTTCAACTACTCTCTTACCGATGACCATGTTGTAGACAAACAACAATGTTGTTCGAGAACAATAACATTTGTACGAGAACACTAGTAAAACAAAGGTGT